TGTTTCCTCCACTTTCCACTATGTTAATGTCAAGTTATATTTGCATGTATTTCAATGGTATCATAAAAAGTAGTACTTAGATTGAAGTTTTCAGGTTTTTTTTTTGTGTATGTTAATTGGTCTCAAATGTCTATTTGATAGTATTTTTTGCATTACACGAGGATTCATTGAGTTATCTTATCAAATCTACACCTCCTGCGTTCGCACAAAACACTTACCTAATAATAATATGTACATAGATATCTACCTAAATATTTTTCCTTCCCAAGTTCATAGATTCCCGATAACGCTATCGAATAACAAATGAAAGAACATACTTTGTTGACGTTTTTAAAAAAATAATCAAAGAAATAACAATTTGACATCAGCTATCGCAGGATTAAATAGGTACCTAGTGATAATTGATAGTCACCTATCTTCCGCTTGACTTTTTAATTATGCGTAAATTATTTGCAAAATATTAAACAAAATATTTTTTATGGGATAGGCCGGTAAACAAACAGATTGATCACCTGATGGTAAGCAATCGGCGCCGTCCATGAACGCCCACAACATCAGAGGAGTTAGAAACGCATTGCCGGTGTTTTAGTGGTTTAAAATTTCGGGATTTGGGGAGATTGAAGTTGGGTCGAATTGGGCATCCGGTAACTTCACTCATGCGACGAACAAATGTACCTACTATTTAAATTAATATTTTTGGCTTCCAGTAATATATACGACGTGGCATCGACTTTTGAGCTGAAGGTATATGATCGCTCCATAAATTCGCTGCTATACGACTTTCTGGGCAGAGTGATTATACCATTGCTCAGGATAAATAATGGTGAAGCTTGCTGGTACGCACTCAAAGACAGCTGTAAGAAGAAAGGGGCGAGGGGTAACTGTCCAAGAGTGCGACTGGAGATGAACATATTTTGGAATCCTGTGAGTACATATTTCTTTTACCAACATTAACTGACACTATATTTGGCATTTAATTTAATCAAGGTATATTTAAAAGTAAGACGAAATAAAACATTTAAAAGTTAGAGTAAGTGCGAATCAATGATTGATGGGAATTAGAAAAGAGAAAACTCTAGAATTGTCGAATTTTTATCTTTAAATTCCAAAACGAAATTCTTCTATCTATGAACCATCTGAAAAACATTAATTTTTTCGTCGTTTAGAGTATTCTTCGATAAAAACAATTAGGTAACAATTTAATCTTTTTGTCTGCGACATTGGGTATTTAAACTATGTCGCCATCACTGTTAGTTAATCTAGAATCCTCATTCAACTCAAGGATTCTGAACTATGAACGTAGGTAATCCTGAACACCTGGTGCGTTAGTACTGGTTCACGTGCTATGAAAACACAATTTCATAATAAATTAATCTTGATAACAAACTGCGATAATTGTTTTGATTGTGACTATAATCCGGGAGATTTATTGTTCACCTTGCGCCATATGTGGGAATTTTAATTAGATGTTTGGACGTTTGTTCATTTATTGGTCAGTAATATGGCTCTTGATCGTACAGTCCAAAGTTAGATGCAGGATGAATAATGAATTTGGTTATTCAATAGGTGATTCATATTCGATTTTACATTATCTAGATACATAGGTATTTAGATTATGATTAAAGACCCCCAGTAAAAGCTATGGTAAGTTAAAATAAAGTGATGTATCTTTTTCCAGGTGATTGCTTCATTGAAACTGTTTCGTCCGAAACAGGTGAAGTACATAACGAAGCCGCCTAAGTTCGACATTCCACTGATTTACAAGAACTGCAAGTTTATCAGAGATACATTTGAGGCTCTCTTTACATTCAACGAATATTTCAAGTAAGTATCTTTTGTCAGACGAGCAGTGTGCAAAACTTAGACTACTGAGTAGAGCCCACTCGACGTCAGTAGACGTCGCGGCAGGCCTAAAAGGAGATGGCGGGACGAATTAGACGTCTATGACAAGGATTGGCCGCAAAAAGCTTTACATAGAGAGGAGTGGAAGGAGGGTACGGAGGCCTTTGCCCTACAGTTAGACGATCATGGCTGAAATTAAAGAAAATAAATGAAAAAACTTTTGTACCAGAAGTGAATTATATATATGGACTAAATGTTTTCCGATTACGGTGATATGGGGGTAAAAGTAATCTACACCACCTGCCTTAGAGCAACTGTGCCAATTTTCATGCATGTCCGTTCAGCTCCTGATATGATTGTCTTGATTCTAAGTTTATAAGTATGATAATATTTATGTGCACATTGGAGTACAAAAGAAACAAATGGTGTTCTATTTGATCGTGTTGTGACACTCACACTGTTTTACCCTCGTATTGGTGCATTATTCTATAATCATGTGAGTGCAAGTATGCACGTATTATGTATTAGGATATTCGGTCCGGTCCGGTCTTTACATGGATTTAGTAGGAAAATCTATATAGATAGGGACTTTTGCAACTCATTCTCATATCGGACAGAGCACATTTTTGTGAAAAGTAATGTATAATCAAATGCGTGGTACGTTATCTCTATCTTTTAATGACTTGTGTGATTGACTGCTTAGTTTATTTTATTTACACATTTCTGCACACGTGTGTGTTACACATGTATGAAGTGCAATTGTATCCATGTGCATTTTGCTGATAACACTGAATCGACCTCTAACATGAATGCACGCGATTTGATTCTACTCTAAATGTGATTTCTGTGTTGAGCAAAATTGGTTAATGTGGGGTTATATAATTCTCATTAACCTGTGAACTGTCGGAACGCATATCTACGCGAGACACAGTATGTTTTCTATAGTATCTAATATATCGACAGCCGTGGCTGTAACCTCTTGAGGTTAATGCCGATACGGAGCCGCGGAAGTCTTAACGAGTTGCCGGGGCTCCGGCTCGAAGTGCCGGAGTAGGAACGGTGTGGTTTTTAGTCAGTAAGATTCTGACAGTCCCTCTCGCCTCACCCGGGCGGGAGAAGTCATTGGATGATTTTCCTCCCTCAAATAAAAAAGTCAAGAGGTTATACGAGATAGTGTAATTAGTTAGAAAAGAAAAAATGTGGGTTCCGTTTGTATCTAATGTTACATTAATTAAAATTGTTTATACTATTAAGAGATCAATCAAGAGGAGAGGATGAGGACAACCTCTATTAAGAGGAGAGGATGAAAAGTATAAACAATAATAGGAGGAATAATCGTTAAAATCTGATTTAATTTGTTTAATGTTCACAGGATATTTCTGGAATGGGATGATCGAGAGTTATCGACGACAATACTTTGTTCCTGGTTAATATTCTGGTACTATTTCGATCCATGGATGACACCATTGCTTATTGCAGCCCTGTTCCCAGTCATATGGTTTATTGATCACAAATTACGTAAGTTATTTTTTAACTTATCGAGAAAGCGTGTGAGTACCTAACTGCTTTCTACTGAGAGACTATGATATCATGTCCAACAGAGTAGGGGTGGCATGCAAACTTTGTACTGCTGATGTCACACCACAGATGTCGCTTGCATCGCTCATCGTAGCTGTATATAATCCATTATGTATCTATTTTTTACTGAAGGTAGAAAAAACTTTAAGTTGAAGCAATGATAATTGAGACATTTATAATATTCCGCTCTAAACACTACTCAAATATAATAGGGTATTGAAAAGTGAGAGAAGGCACGAAACATTTTAAGGAAAACCAGACATGCTGTTCTGTTATTGTATTTCTATTAATTCGTTTATTCTAGATCAAGAAACGAAACTTCCAAATGATGAAGGGCCTAAAGACTGGAACACGGGAGATGATGGCCAGGGTGGGGAGTCTGTGTCGGATAAAATCAAAGGTCTGCCAGAGATGACACTCACTATAACAGCGGGTATAGAATATCTGGTCTCGGTAGCTGAAAGATTGTATAAGTAAGTAGGAATTAATTGTGCTACCATTTTGAACTCCAAGATTTGTTATGACAAGAAATGTTGTCATGTGATAAGTTAACGCAATAGATTCTCCAATAACTCTATGAAGAAGAAATGATAAATAACAAATAAAAATGGAATAAATAACTAGAATAGTTACATAATCTGTGTAAGAAAAAATTAGATTCTGTCATCCGATTGTCACCCTCCTCTGTGTAATTTTGTCTTATGTGTGTCTGTGTGTGTGATTAAATGTTAATTGTTTTCGTTTATTTTTCAGTTTAGCAACATTCAAGGTCCCGTTTCTGACTATCCTGTCAATGATATTGCTAGCCATAAATTCAGCACTTCTCTACTTTGTCCCTTATAAATACCTCATGATGGGATTTGGTAAGTTACATCTCCGGATATAAGAAAAAAATTAAGACATGTTTATTGTGTTCCAATTATAAGAACGTTTATAGTTAATACTTAAATATTTCAGGCATATACAAATACGGGAGGAAACGTTTGAATCCAGATCGAATACTGAACAATGACTTATTGGACTTCATTTCGAGAATACCTGACAACAAAATACTGGTAAATTACATCATATTAATTAATTCTTTTTATAATATCTTCGAAGATATTACCCAATTTAAGTAAATTAGTCTATTCTTCTTGATTGCTCAAAGTTTTGTGCTTAGTCGTTTTTATTTGATTCTTTAGGATCGTGGGCAATAGATGGCGTTATTCTTATTATCTAGTAATGTTTAACAGATATGAGAAATGTCTTTTTTTGTAGTTGTTCATTATTTTGTCTTTTTTTACAGAGAGATTGGAAACCACTGAGTGTACCGGAACCTCAAAACAATAAGAACTGTACAAGCACATCTTCAGGAAAAAGTTCAACATGACAAGAAGTTAATTAGTTTAGTTGTAGAATCTAAGATATAATTATACGAGTAGATATCCTAGTCCAGGGCGATATTATATAAGATATCCTAGAGTAGGGAACTGTAGTGATTAGTATGTCATTGTGCCAAATTACCTAAGAATAAATTAGATTAGTTTTTATAAGAGATTTCTATTATATTTTTACTTTTAAATAAAAACATTTTTGTATATAAGAGAATATATAATTATTCATTGTTTCATTCTTAAAATTAAACATCACAATTTCATTGTTAACCTAGCTTCTTATTAGGAGGTATTTGCATTTTGCATACTATTTTCTTTGTACATTGATCATTATTACAATAACCATAAGGTTTATTATTGTACAAAATGTTATTAACATTATCATGTCGTTTGTCTTAGAATCGATAGGAAAATGACAAACATTACCTAATAACTAATTTATCAGACAAATCCGCAAACCACTTTATAAATAAATATAAAAAATATTTCTTAAATGAAATAATTAAAAAAATGCGGCTGCGAATCTAAATGCTCATTAGTCTAATGGCAAAATAATTATAATTAATATCACCTATGAGATTAAATTAAATTATAAATAATTTGAGCAATCAATGCAATCACGTAGTTTTATTGCACAATTTTGTGCAAGGCGGTCGTAGTCGGGGTTGTGAGACTTCATAGCTCCGGAGCTGACAGGAGCTGACAAGAGCTGATCGGAGTTAACTGGAGCTGACAGCGAAGAGCTCTTAGGAGCTAAAGCCCGCGCCACACTACATCATTACGGTTATGTAACGTAGCGTGCAGTGCGCCTTTCCTCTCCTTACTTATCGCCTCTTCGAGTATGTTCTGTTGAAGTTGTTCTCCGGGACTCTCAGTTCGCGCCATTGTTTCTGTAAATGAAATTACTTAATGACATGCGCAGTATACGTAAATAAATTGTTTATTCTACCAAATATAAAAAAATAATAAATAAATAAAATTTTTATTCATAATTCAAAAATGCAAAATACAAAATATGTTTCAAGTAAGTAAAAATTGATCTCATAAAGTTAGATGCCTGCGCTAGGACAATCCTGTATCGCAGGCGAAATATAGATATATCGACGTAGTTACATGACGGCGGTAACTGAATAATTTACAGTGATTTAGTTAATTTTCAGTTCTAGGGCTTTCATTGTCAAACTAAAATCCACATTTGTATGAAAAATATCTTGTATATATATTTATATTGCATCGTCTGTTTTACTGACCAGCATCTTGTCGTCCGGTATCCGTGATATGAAGTCCAGTATGTCATTGTTTGGAACTCGGTCAGGGTTTAACACTTTGCGCATGAACTTGTAGATACCTGAAAATATAAAATGCATTGTTTTAGATAATATTGAACTACAAACAAATGTATAGGTTCTTCATTTGGTGCTACAAAATAAATTATCTAAATGACATACATTAGCATTTATTTAATGGCTAAATATACGAAATTGAAATGTAATGAATAGAATCTAATGTTTAGCAGTTATTTTATTACTTAGGTCAAACAAATATATCAAGTTAGTACAACATAACATAACATCACGCCTTTTATCCCCGAAGGGGTAGGCAGAGGTGCACATTATGCTACTGTACAAAATAACACCCACTTTTCACTATTTATGTTACGAGTCCCATGTAATAGGGGGTGAGCCTATTGCCGTATACCGGGCACAATTTCAGACTTCGTGCTACTACTGAGAATTTTTTTAAAACCCAGTAATACTTTGCCCGACTCGGGAATCGAACCCGAGGCCCCGGCAGACGCACTTGCGACTACTAGGCCAACGAGGCAGTCAATCAAGTTAATAATGGAAATCTAACAACGAAACATATCTAATAAATATACTCTTGATATCAATGATTTGAGGAACTATTCGTACATCTTAACTATATATAGTATATTAAACCTATAATGAACATCTTATTTTGTACGTATGTAGGTATATTAAAGTAATACATACCTAATGCCATAAATATATAATTGATGGGAATGATGTATAGTGCAACGGTGGCTGCAACCAGTACAGTCATCACGAGGTAACTTAAGTACGGTACCGCAAACTTAAATAAGCTGTAACAAGAGAAATAAATTAATATATAGTCCTCAGACAAATGTGAATTTATCTAAACGATAGTTGAACTACTGAATAAAGGGGGGAAAATCATCGAATGACTGCTCCCGCCTGGGTGAGGCGGAAGGAAGTGTCAGACTCTTACTGACTAAAAACCACCCCAATCCTTCTCCTGCACGTCGAGCCGGAGCGGAGCCCCGGTTACCCGTTAGGTTCTCATACGATTGACACTGAATTACGACAAATTATTTCAAAACTTATATTAAGCATGGACTTATAAACGATAAAAATATGACAGTAATAGCAAAATTGTATAATTATTGAGCTTTTTTAAGAATTTCTCTTTACATATTAAAGGTGTGTAATTCTATCATTCAATTTGCAAAGATAGTTGAGTCCTTTGATTATAATTATAATGTCGTTGAGTCGTGAAACTGAACAACACTCCTCATTAATCAATTAAGTATATTATATACCGATTGTAACTACTTATGACAGAAATTTGTAGGTCACTATAGAAACCTAGACAATCGGTAGACAATGGTGTTAATTTGTAAAACAAAAGAATGTGTAAAGAAATGCAATTAGGAAGAAATGTATTGTTTTTTTTTTACCGTTTTTAGGTCATCTGATTTAAATAGTTAAGTTTTAAACGGTTCTCCTAAAATATGTAAATGTCAATCACTGTTTCGACTTTTGAAAAGAATCTGACCTCTGATTTGTTTCGATGTTTTCTTAGGAGTATGTCAGTCAGATCTACATATAAATTCTCGCCTAGTTTTAAACATTACTTAAAGGGAATATTTTAAAATATGGAAACGTAGTAAAATGCTACTTACTTTCTAACCCTCTGTAATAGAGATACAATGTAGTCTATGCCATCCTTAATTGTAAAAGTGAGATCCTGTAGTTCGTACAAACGAGTTTTTATTGTTTTGTCGTCCTGAAAGAAAAAATCGTTAAAATTAATACATTATAAATTTAAAAATTATTATTGTTTTTTTTTTTTACCTAC